TGACGACATTGCGGTGGCCATCTTGTGATGACGTCACATGAGGGCATTGTGCGTGACGCCACCTAGGCTTTTATTATACAGGATATGGGATATTTATTTATTATACCAGTATATATATAGTAATTCATATCTCAAAAACCAGTGTAAGGAAATTCTGTATTAGTTGCTTAGGCTGCTATAACAAATTACTTACAAACTTATTGACTTAAAACAACAGTAAATTATTCTCTCCCAGGTTTGAAGGCTAGAAGTCCAAAATCAAATTGTTGGCAGAGCTACTACAGGTGCTGAACTTGGTGAATAGGGGAGAGTGGGTTATTTCTGACCAGGTCAGGGAAGGAAAGTTTCATGGAGGTAGTAGAAAAAATAATAAAGAAGGTGGGTGAGGGGACTGACCTGAGGGTATGGTAAGATTAAATCAGAAATGGGGTTAATTAGGTTTTACAATATCACAGGTGTTAGTTAGGAATTTTTTATTAATTAACTTAGAATTATTAAAGTCTTGTCTGAACAAAAGTGGCATGATCTTGAGGCTTCTGCTTCAGGAACCTAATGGGGCAACAGTGTTTAGGATAAGCTGGTCTCCTTTCAACCCATCTAGGACAGAGATACCAAAGAACGAAAATTAGTAAGACTCACTGGACACTTGAGGGGACGTGGAGGTGGGGGAAACCAAAGAAAATAATATATTTTGATCCAAGAGACCTGGAACTGGGGTGAAGAAAACTAGGATAATAAAAAGGAAGATGATTTTTAACTAGGAGGATAAATTCAGTGTTGATGTACTGCCTCTGAGGGACTGATATGATATTTAGTTGAAGATTTAAATAAGGATATTGTAGATATAGGACTGGAGTTTGGGAGTGACATCAGGACTAGAGATACAAATGTGTGAGCTACCAGTAGTGAAATAATTAAAGTCATGCAATTCTAAAAAGCAGTGTCAAATCATGGGAAGAGTATGAATGTGGAGTTTAATAGACATATTCCTATTCTATCTCTACCATTTACCTGTTGGATGACCTGGACAAATTGCTTAATCCCTCCATCCCCTCATATATAAAAAGGCGAAAAATAATATTATCCTTCAATGAGAATTACATGAGTTGAGTATTTAAAACACCTATCATCTTTAGATTTGCTTTCACATTTTGGTGGCATAATTCCCAGTAAGAAATACTATATTTATTTTGTAGTCACTGTCTTAAAATATGTAACACAGTTTTTATAAATTATTTTTCCTTTGATTCTGTTTTATTAAAAGCATGTTGACTCTGATCTTTGAAACTGATTTCATGACCTACGAATGGGTTGCAACCCACACTCTGGAAAACACTGGTCTCAACCAGCATCCTATAATCAAATCATACCATTACTACTCACTGTTCCCTCAACTTTCATTTTTATTACTCCCTCTGCTTGAGCTGCTTGTTAATATCATATTACTTCTTGATGGTCCAGAAGAAATAATAACTATTTACTTCCTTTACTCTACCCATATAACACTTTGTCTATAACAATATTTATCTATTGCTCAAATGGATTATAAACTTCTTGATGATAGGAAACAGGTGTTATGTATCTATGTATCCTGGAGAAATGGTTGTTCTTAAGAGGTACAGAATAAATTTTAATTAATTATTATAGAGAAAAGAGAGGGGAGGTCTGGGGAAAGAACCTTGTTGAGTACCTACTTCCAAGGCCCTGCTCTGGCCTCCTCAGGTTCTAATTCTCCCTTCATCTCTATGTGCCAAAGCTTCCATGGAAATGTTTAAGGCAGAACATTGTGACTCCTTGTTTAGGACAAAAAGACTTAGGCCAGTAATTTTTTTGGACACAGTGACTTGAGCTTGTTCATGGTTTGGGGTGTGAAAAGGTCTGGAGGAGATAAAATAAATTTGAGGAAGAAACTAAGATATATCTAGGACTTAGCTTTAGGTAAAATAATAGAAACATTCCTGTTCTGGTCTCTAGATTGCTAAATGAAAGAATCCAATAAAGGAAACATGAAATAAATTACCAGAGTAAGTATTTCATTTTAAATTATTAAAGTTTATTTCATTTTTTCAGGCCCTAAAAAACTTCTCTCTGATGGAAATGACCCCTGGCAACAGTGACATTCTGACACCATACATGATACACACAATTGTGGAGTCTGAGTTCCATGTCACAATGGCTCTGTTCTGATTACTGGTTTCACCATGCCTACCAGCCAAATTAAACTACTGGTTTTTAATGGTCTTCAGCCCACTTTGTAAATCATCATAAAGAATATTAAGTCAACCAAATAAATTTGCCTCTATGTGACTTGTTGTAAAACCTGAGGCATGATATCAAAATGTACAGGAAAAAATACCTTTTATATATGAATTTTGGACTCCATGGTGGAAGGAAATACAGTTCAACTGGTTTCATAAAATGAGCCAAAGGCAATTTGTTCCTCAGGAAACACTTCTCAGTCCTGAATGTAAAGGAAACATCAAAGTCCCAGAGTCTAAATTTCAATCTACTCTCAGGCCTAGATGCTAAGGATGATCTACATTGGTGGTCAGTCAGTATGTATGGGTAACCTGTATGCCCTACACTGGGCCTCAATTTACTTATTTTAAAATTAGGTGATTAAACTTTCATTTCTTATATCCTTTCTACCTATAATGTTTGATAGCGCCTTGCCCTTAAATCCCTTTCACCTCAAGTTTTAATCTTAAAAAATGTGAAGTATATTTATAAAGTTCTTTGGTATCCTTCAATGTTATTCAACATGATAAGAGTACTATTCACTAAACCTGAGTTTTATCATTTTAGTTCTGCCTCAGAGGCTAAGTTTTATGAGAGCCTTAATTTACATCACCAGAAGCTAATTTAATAAAAATAAAGGAACCCCTTTTGGAGCTAAATTAAAATTGGTGGGGAGGACAGAGACCCTTATGCAAAAGAAAGAAAGAAACAAACAAAAACCAGGAGGCTAAACTTAGAAGAGGGTCAAATGGTTCTGAGTTCTAAAGAAGGTTGTGCCAAGAACCTGGTCCTGCCTTTTTATGCCCTGAAAGTAGGAGTTTCTAATGGCAACTTCCCAAATCCCTGGCCTCTTGACCCAATATCTATTGTGCCATTTGCCCTATTTCCTTGAAGCACAATCCACTTGCATAGCAATTAGACAAACAGGTGCAGAGCATCGTCCATCTTAATTTAGGGAGATTTATCTTTGGAGACAACTCCAGTGTATGGGATGCAAGACACACAGCTTAGAAAATGACTGAACCCCCTTTCACAAAGAACAATATGGTACGAATGGGCACATCTCATTCTGGTCAGGAAAAATTAATGGTGTTGGTAAAAGAGGAGAAGGACTGGGAGACAGATGCCTAAAATGAGACGATAAACACTAGGTTTGTCTTGGACAAATTCCTTTATAATTTTCTCCCTGTCAAAAACTTTATTCAATTCCTCTTCACAATAAATACTTTCTGACAGAATGCATCCCAAAGTTCAGACTTTTAATATATTTTGTAATTGTACAAATAACAGCTAATTCTTGATTACTATGATTATGTCCAGCAATGGGGATTATAAAAAAGAATAAGAAATGGACACTGCTTTTAGAGACCTTACCATCTATGGGTTTGAACTGTTGTACTTATGACAAAAATAACAATAACCATCATTTATCCATTCATACCCACTAGGCACTGAGCTGAGTGGGCAATATGCATAAGCTGCCAAAGTTCCTCTGGAGACCCTGACATTGAGGTTCATGCATCAGCTCTCAAAAAAAAAAAGGACCTAACAGGAATTCAAATAATAGGCAGAGATATTTAACAACTTGAGAGCTGTCTATAGTCAACAGGCAAGAATCAGTCAATAATGAAAGAGTGCAGTGAACCAAAAGTGAAAATGAAAGAAAACCTGTGAATCACCTTTTGTGTCCTCTGTTAGACAGGCACTGGGATACTCTGAAATCCACTGAAATACCCCACATGTGGCATCCCAACAATGACTCAAACAGATGAATGTTATTTAAGTGTTTTAAGATTTTTCTAGCAAAAGACCTTGCAATACATTAAATTGCAAAACTTAGGAAGACATCATAACCCTTTGCATATCACTGCCAAAATGTACATTTTTATTTTAAATTAAAAAAAAAAACAGATTGACTTTCCTTGTAGTATTTCACAACCTTTGAGTGCAGCATTAAAATGCTTTTCTTTTCCCCCCCATGAATGATAAGCTTCTGTTTTCTTACCCTGGGCGTCTGAATCTTTTATATACTCGGGTTCTATTCACTGCCTGTTATTCAGACATTGAAATCCCAAATGTTAATTGTTCTTCCAAGTACATTGACAAAACAGCAGCTAAATAAGGGTAGACCAGACTGTGGTAGACTCTGACATGCATTTATGGAACAATGGGGCTCTGAGAGACAGCCTTGTAGCTCACGGGAAGACATAAGATGTGCTATTTTGACTGTTTCATAGCAGAATGGGGAACACACGCACACAAGGGAATTATGCATTTTACTTAGTTTTGCCCAAAGTCCTCAAGGCAACAGAATCTTGTGATGTCATCATGAACTTTCCATTTCCATTGACACAAAGGCTAAAGATTTCTAATGACATCACAAAGTAAAAAGGAATTTACTTTGATTCCATAAGAAATCTGTTACCCTCATTGAGATTTGTACAAAAATTCAAGAATCCTTCCTGACAGGGTGAATGTCACTGTGCTGATGCACAGTGGGTGACACCCTCCCTAATGCAATTCAAACCAGCCTAAAGAAAGGATTCGCAATTTAGGCTGGGTAAAAAAGACATACTGAATATTGAGGCCAAAAAATTTTCCATTTTTAAAGAAGAAAATCATTTAAATGTATATTTCTTCAGGGGCGTTAAATATTTTACTCATGTCTGGTTACTATGTTAGCAATATTTTTGTCCTTTATTGAACTGGTCACCAAAACACAGAGGAAGATACAGGAAGCTTTCACTTACAGGAATGCAGTGCAGCTCAATCTTTTGTTTTTAAGGTGCAGTGATTTCAGTCTCTAAATGTAACTTCAGGCAGCCTGAAAAGAAACAGGTTAAAATCTCTTTCAGTTATAATTGGTATTTCAGATTTAATTAAAAATTAAACTTTCATAATGTTTCACCATCCAAAGCAATGCATTATCAGTCAAGCGTGGCTTTTTTTTTCTGTTAAGAAAAAAAAAAAAACCCTCTTCCCAGAGTAGATTTTTAATGAAAAGAAAAGGATCTAAAGAGGGGAAAAAAGCAATTCTGAAAAACAAAATATGCCTCCATGTTAAGGACTTCATAATTATATGACTAGAAGCTCAGTGCTTCTCAATTTTAGCAATATTCTATCTGATTTAAAAACAACTCCTAAACAATTTCACAGCCTAAAGATTACATAAAATATTAATTTCAGAGAATAAAGACGAAAATCTATGATCACATGTTAAAGATAAATTGTGACTTTAAACAGAATTGAAAAAAAAATGTTAGACCCACTACTTTCAAATAAGTGAATAGGTGGTGGGGCAGATGGTGAAGTGGAGGTAAATGGACATATTTAACAATACAAAATGCCCACTGCAATGCACTGTGGTAAGTTTAGCTTGCCCCATACCACACATTGTATACCCTGTCACATGCAGCCAGTGCTGTTTGGAGCAGCACGGGAAGACCATCAGGATTTGAACCAGACCTCCTTGTTTAAATAACTGCAATCACATTTTTAATATGTACTTCTAATATTCAAATTAAGAGTCCAAGCATTAAAATCTCCAAGTATGTCATAAATATTTGGGCTTTAAACGTCATACTATTTTTTCAATCCTTTCTTCATACAACACCCTCTATAAAAAAGATAATAGTTTTTAAAAAAACAGACGGGATTAAGTCATTCCTATTTTTAGCTTCAAATAACTGACATGACATGATTTAGAAAAATATAGTTTTTAAATGTAAAATGGAGACAATACAATTATCTTCCTTTTACTTTACAGCATGGCAGTGCATTTTTTTTATATACTTGTAAAACTAAAGTGGTGTGTTTATGGTCACCTTCATATTAGTGCAAGGTAATATATTAATATTTCCACATATGAGAGCATGATCATAAATCCCCCCTGAAATTGCATCTATTATTAGAAAATGCATCTAGTTCTCACTTGTAAATTCTGTTTTCTTTTTCCCTTGAAGCATATGGAGGAATATTTTGAGTATTGTGTCTATTTGATGTATATAGATTTTAAATGCAAATTGGCTTAGATTCACTAAATCTATCCATGAATGGATCAAAAAAAAATCACTGACATTGACTAAACTTTTCCCCTGTTTCTCATATGCCTGAATTAGACTAAAAATGTACCAGTGTAAAGACAGAAATTATGAAGGCGTCACCAGGGACAACTGAATGAGAGGAGGGGAGTGTGTGTATTTCCTTATAAGGCAACAAAACATTCATAAAAGAAACTGACAAAAATAACTCAAGCTTAGAAATTGTATGCAATAACAATAATGCCCAATAACTGATTCAAAAATATAAAAACTGCCCACCTCTACTTAAATCTGAATCACCAATTGGTATTGTTCTACTCACCACTCAAATATGGTTAGTGAGACTGATTCACTGTCTAGTTCAGACAAGAAAAAGTGATGGAAACTAGATTGTATATTTATATATAAACGATTTAACTGACAACTAGCAGTTCAATTTAATCAGTCAGATTTCCTTTTCTTAATTCACCAGATGTGGAGTGAACTTAACTATTGGTTCAAAATAATAAAGCTATTTCTATGAATAGTCAGTTACATTCTCTACCTCTCCTCACAGCATTCCTTCTCCTCTGACCTTTCTCTTCATTTCTCTGTTTCTGCCTTTTTCCTTACTTTCACTTTCTTCCTTATTTTTCCCCTCTTTTTTTTCCCTTGGTGAGGGTAATGAAGCTCAAAAATAACATCTTGTATCCTGTTGAGGGAAACTTGGTCACAACTCTCCTTCCAGATGACAAACTCATTCTTAAATGTCTGTTTCCCAATCCAAAGAAAACAGAGCAATTGAGAAAAGAGACACAACATCACTTACCACTACCAACACCAACACTTTTAATTCCCATGCTACCTTCATCACAAGGAGGGCTGAAGTTTATTTACATTATCCCTTACCCTCAAATAAGACCACAAATAAGACTAATAACAGGACCATTTTGTGGCACTCAGGCAAACGGCTGGGCAAAACAGATGGATCTTACTTTGCGCCAGGACTCAAAAAATACAGTCGCCAACTCACTGCTGGCGACTACATATCTTGGCCCAAAGATGGACCTGGAAGTGAGACCAGTTGTCTTTGAATGCTGTTCCTATTCATATCTGCCTCATGAGAAAATCATTAACTCTGTCACTATGTAGTGGGGTTAAGTATTGGGTAGAAGCTGTTTGGAAAGATGGTCATCAAAGAAATGCAATATTCTGAAGGCATGTCAGATTAGATTAAGGAACATAAACCTTATTTTTGGCACTACTGTCTACTTTTCAACTTCCTGTTTGTTTTCTTTTCAAGTTCAGTACTATTCACTGAAACCACCTCTAAAATAGATTTCCAGATTATGTGTCATCAAAAAAGAGTAATTTGCTCCTGACATTTCAGGTTCCAAAATCTGTTACATTTTTTTCAAGTCACCTAGATCTGTCTCAGTCATTATAATATTGACCACCAGTATCAAAATTCCTTAATTAGGACCAAACTGTGTAAGGCTTTGTAGATTACAGTCAACACCCAGTAATACACTGAGATACAGCTCAGTAATCAATGCAAACTAAAAAGCCCAGAAGAATGCTTCTCTTGGCAGAGACCCTTTAGCAAAAGAATTGTATATTCTGCAGTAAAGATTCTAAATGGCTTTCCAGAGAAGTAACAAATGCATTAAATTACGGTAATCTATCGTGTAAATAAAAAATAGCCCCCAAATAATAAAAAAATGAAGGGGGGTGATCAACTATATTCATTGACCGGGAACAAAGGACTACTGTGACCACACACCCTACTTTGTAAAATCCTCATATAGATAGAAGGTCTATCCGAATGCAGGCACTTCTCTTAATGCTCTCCCATCTTTCACCATCTATTGTAACTCACTCAGATTGTTTTTGAGAGTTTACTCATCTATCTATGATTCATTATGACCCTGTTCAGATTGGATTTTTTTAAAGAGAGAGAAACATTAACCGGATACCTCCAAGACATGCCCCGGCCAGGGATCAAACCTGAAACCTAGGTATGTGCCTTGACCGAAAATTGAAATCTCAATATTTTGGCATAATGAATGATGCTCCAAACAACTGGGCCACCAGCCAGGGCCAGATTTGATATAATTTTTTTTTAATTCCTCAGCTGATGATATTTTTCCATTGGTTTTTAGAAAAAATGGAAGAGAGAGGAAAAGGCAGAGAGAAATATTGATGTGAGAGAAACACATCGATTGGTTGCCTCCTGGACAAGCCTGACCAAGACCCAGGCCAGGGAGGAGCCTGCAACCGAGGTATGTGCCTTGACTAGAATCAAACCTGGGACCTTTTGGTCTGCAGGCCAACGCTCTATCCACTAAGCCAAATCAGCTAGGGCCAGATTTGATTTTTAAGAGACAAGTCTTTTTCAGTGGTCAGCATAGAGAGTGATTTATATTTTCATTATTTCTTATTCTTTTTTTTCCACTTAAAAATTTTTATTATGAGAAATCTCAAACATATGCCAGAATAGTAAGGAAAGTAAAATGAACTACCATGTACTCATCACGCATAGTCAATGTTAATTTGACACAAAATGTAAAAGTTAATTTCTGAACTTACAATTACATCCCATTGGTCTGTATGCCAGTACTATACTCTCTTTTTTAATATAAGTTTTAAAACCAAAAGTGTAAGTCATCTAACTTTGTCCTCCTTTTCCAATTATCTTTCTGTTCTGGGTCCTTTGTATTTTTATATAGATTTTAAGATCAGCTTGTCAATTTCTATAAAATGCCTTTATTATTATTTTTTAACTTTTTAAAATTAATTAAGGTATTACATATGTGTCCTTATCCCCCCCCCATTGCTCCCACCCACCCCGTTCATGCCCTCACACACCTGGTGTATGTGTCCATTGGTTATGCTTATATGCATGCATACAAGTCCTTTGGTTGATCTCTCCCCCTTACTCCCACCCTCTCATACCTTCCCTCTGAGTTTTGAGCATCTGATCATTGTTTCTCTGTCTCTGGATCTGTTTTTTTCCATCAGTTTATGTTGTTCATTATAATCCACAAATGAGTGAGATCATGTGGTATTTATCTTTCTCTGACTGACTTATTTCGCTTAGCATAATGTTCTCCAGCTCCATCCAGGCTGTTGCAAATGGTAGGAGTTCCTTCATTTTTACAGCAGTGTAGTATTCCATTGTGTAGATGTACCACAGTTTTTTAATCCACTCATCTGCTGATGGGCACTTAGGCTGATTCCAAACCTTAGCTATTGTAAATTGTGCTGCTATGAACATAGGGGGTGCATGTATCCTTTCTGATTGGTGTTTCTGATTTCTTGGGATATATTCCTAGAAGTGGGATCACTGGGTCAAATGGAGTTCCATTTTTAGTTTTTTGAGGAAACTCCATACTGTTCTCCACAGTGGCTGCACCAGTCTGCATTCCCACCAGCAGTGCACGAGAGTTCCCTTTTCTCTGCATCCTCACCAGCACTTGTCATTTGTTGATTTGTTGATGATAGCCATTCTGACAGGTGTTAGATGGTACCTCACTGTCGTTTTGATTTGCATCTCTTGGATGATTAGTGACTTTGAGTATGTTTTCATATGTCTCTTGGCCTTCCTTATGTCCTCTAACGAAAAGTATCTACCATAAAGTATTACGTTGAGGTATGATCCCTCTATTCCCACTGAGCATTTTTATCAGAAAAGGATGTTGGACTTTGTCAAATGCTTTTTCTGCATCAATTGATATGATTATGTGATTTTTGTCTCTCAATTTGTTTATGTGATGTATCCTGTTCATTGATTTGCAGATATTGT